TCTTGGTTGGTCAAGGGGTTATTGCGTAAAGCCCACAGTTCGGTCAAAAACGCACACAGAAGAGGAACAAGCACCCTTATTGGTACACCCTAGTCGTGGTAATTCTTTGTGAAAATGAGTCATCAGTCTAAATATATCAAAACATGAAACTATTTAATTCCACAAATCGATTTGCTTGATCCACTGACCGACTCAATGACTTACAGTGTGAATACAAAACGGACTACCCGATAACGAAACAAGGAGACCGTTTTTCTGTGGTAAAACATTAATCTGAAGCTAGAAGTGATTGGGGTCAGTGGACAAGAAATAGAATTTTGGATCTGTTCGCGTTCGTTATGTGAAGGATGTGTAAGCACTTAACCACGGTCAGTTCCTCTTCGCTAAACAATAAAGAGGGACAGCTGACACAATACTGACCCAGCACTTTTCAAAGGAAATGGGTAAACTATATACAAAAAAATTACACTGATCAGACATCAAAGTGCACCTTTGGAACACTCTGGCGGTCGAGTATTCAAATCCAGCCATCGTCGCATAATGTATTCCCTTTCATTGCAAACTATCGAAAGCCAAGAAGAGATTAGGGTTGATCTGTTTATTGCACAACGTTTTGCAGTGAAGGTCAGAGGGAGGGATAGTCACCACAGTCGAGAGAACCCAATTTTCAGTCATGGTAAATGGTAACTTGAGATCCCGGGACATATGAACCATGGAAGACCCTAATAGAACGGGACTGACGTTGAATTAGGTAACAGGTAAGCTTTCTACGAGCTAATATTTTGATTAATTGCTATCACTTTCTGTGCGTTTGTTTGCCCACACGAATAACAAAGAAAGTGACCTTTCTCTCCCTATATATAAACTTGATTTGTTATCAAGGGTGAGGTAGAAACGAAAATTGGAATGTGTAAAAGGATGTTTTATACAGGCTATTTTATTGGATAAAGCTCATTTTTTGAAAGGAAAAAAAGAGTACATTCCTAATGATTCCTCGCTTTAGACAAAAATACTAATGGTAGGTCACTGTCATCATCATTAATGGTAGCGACTGGGTTACCCAAGTGCCTGCTGGAATTACTCAGGCTTACGAAATAAGTGCTGAAATCCCTAGAAATAATAAAAGCTTCTGTGAAATGTGCTTAGCAAATGGGATGAATGATGCGAGTCACAGAGCAGCTAAATTGAATTGTCCTCGCTCCCACATGCACGATAGCTACAATTTTTTAAAATGAAAACCGAATGAAGACGAATGAAAAACTAAAACGCAAAATCGCATCAAATTATTTTCTATACTGAGAAAAAATATCGAAAAAGCAGAATTTTCACTGCGAAAAATGTATTGCGCCCCGTCATGAACGTTGGGCTGAATATTTTAAGGCACAGTTCAGTTGATCCCCGTCGACACAAGACCTCCCCTTACTAACTTCAACTGCGCAGATACTGCCAGTTGACACCAGTACTCCATCTGAAATGGAGATTACCTGAGAAATACATTATCTCGGAAGCTATAAGGATTCTGGTATCGACAGGCTGTCCGCATCGGTTTTAAGGATGGAGGTTCAGCCTTGGTTTTGGAGATAACGAAGCTACGGGACTCAATATGGGAAAGGGAACAGGTTCCATCGGAATGGTATAAATCGGTGATCATACCGCTTTACAAGAAGGGCGACAGGTCCTCTTGTGAAAATCACAGAGGAATTAGTTTATTCAACATCGTCTCTAAACTTATCAATGGTGTTATACACCGTCGGTTGTATGCCACATGTGAAGAGTGCACGCGCAAGAACCAGGCCGGTTTTAGACCTGGTTGAGGTTGTATAGACCACATCTTCACTCTTCGTCAAACTCTGGAGCACCGACATTCTTTTCGTAGACCCACCATCTCTGTCGTCCTTGATCTGAAAGCGGCTTTTGTCTCAATCGACCGCTCTAAACTCCGGCACTGCCTGGCTTTGAAGAGTGTTCCCGAGAACTTTATTTCTACCTTACAATCCCATTATACTAATAGCTGAAGCCGAGTCCGAGCTTACAGCATTTTTTCGCCCGAGTTCGACGGGTTGCCCTCGCTCTCTGTTTCGATTTAACTTCGTTATAGATTTGATTATGGAAACAGCCCTATCCTCGTGCAAGGATAGCGGTATCGATTCACTCCCAGGTGGGAGATTGTCGGACCTAGAGTATTCAGACGACATTGTGCTACTTAGTGAAGATCAAAGTAAGTTGCAAGCTTTTTTGGATAGTTTGAGTGCTAGTGCATCCATGCTCGGTATGATTTTTACATCTTCACAGTGTAAAATTTTACCACAAGATTGGGTTGGTCCAGCACCCAGTCTCATCCTGACTGGGGAAGTACTAGAGGAAGTGGACAAGTTTTGCTATCTGAGCAGCTATATCTCATCTGGTGGATGCATCACAGATGAAGTGTCGGCGCGCATACAAAAGTCTCGATTGGCGTTTGCCAATTGGAAACATTTGTGGCACCGTCGCGACATCCGGCTGTCTGTGAAGAGTCGGGTATTTGCTGCAGCAGTTCGGCCAGTATTTTTCTAAGGTGCGGAGACTTGGCCACTACGGAAACACGATAAAAATTGATTGTCGGTATTGTCTACGTAGCATTGCACGAATCTGGTGGGGAAACCGGACGAGCAATGCTGAGGTTAGGCATAGAGTTTTAGGTAGTCGCAGGCGGGCACTGGAGCAGGTATTCGACCTCCATATATCACGTTGGTTGGGGCATGTGTTACGCATGTCACCGGATAGATTGCCCCGGCGAGCGATGTTTGCCGAGGCAGGGCGTGGTTGGAAAAACGCCAAGGGTGATCAAACGAAGACCTGCCATGGCAGTATGAAAACCCTAACCAGCAGACTGGGTCCCATAGGTCCCGTTAGGCTCCCTGGCTGGGGACCCCGAGATCATGATTACAAATGGTTAGAGATAATGTGTGATATGGCTGTGGCGAACAGTGGCGCTCATGCATCCGCTCATTATTCTCTTAACACCAGTCTATATGACTTCTCTATATTCTGTTCGAATTGGCTTTCAACATTCAGATCCTCATCCTTCTCTTCCATCCACGTGGGAGGCCAAGGGACAGAAACCAAAACTGGCGAACGAGAGTGCATAGTTAATTGTTGTAAAAACCGGAACCGAAATTGCACCCGTCGTCCCCATGGACGTTGCACACCAAACTCGGTTTCAAAACGGGCGTGATAGACATTCGGAAATTCGATCCTCGGTATGCAACTGGTGACCGTACTGAGCCAGTAATTCATAGACTGATGTTAACATGATCAAGTTCTACTCTGATGGTTGTACGCTCACGTCACCCAGTTGAAGAAGGAAAGACATCTTTAACGCTAGTCAGATTGAAAACGCCACGACCACCACTTTGAAATGCGTGTGAGTCATGTGCCTGTCTCACTGAAACTTTTGGTTCATAAATTTTTGTACTGCGACTGGCCTGCAGGTTACTTGTGATTTTCCTCTGGCCCGGAGAATCCGCTGTCCAAGGTGTGTTTTACCTATGCATTGCCTTCATTTACGGGTTGGTTGGAAACCCCGAAGAGGATCATTGAGCGGTGTTTAGTGATGACGCTGTTGTCACCAGAAACTCGGATAGTGTTACCCGGAATCAACCTCCTACCTTGTATTACAAATCGGTGGCATTGGTAAGCTAAGTCCTTCACGCATCGGGGATGATAACAGTGTCTGAGTTGAGTATTTCAGTGCAAACGGTACAAAGAACACCTAAGATGTTCTCCTTGAAGAAATACAACAAAACGAAAATCGACATAGATAAAACAACCTAATAAACGGAGAAAAATAACATTGTGAATTAGAACTCGAATAGCTCGGAAAAACGAATGGAATTTCGTCTACTTCAGCGACAAAAAGAAACTTAATTTAGTTGGGCACGACTACTACTGTGGAATGAAGACTGGTCCTTGAGTAAGCGGATTGCTAATCGAAACTCTGTGGTTCCTCAGGGTGCCTTATCAATCAGAGACCCAACCAAATTGGATATAGTACCTGGTGTGCGAGATTCTGATTCATATATTCCTGTATTGGAGCGGCACTGGATGCCATCGAATTGTCACTCGGAAGCCATTTCAAGGGTCAATATTGCCTTAGTTCACAATTCGCACCTAATAGAATGCTCTTTATTATTTTAGGGAATCAAAAAATGGTGTGGTCTACATGCAGTCTGGATTTGAACTTAATATAAACCACTCGGGCTACTCTGACCAAAAGCGATGTCATCAATTGTACCAACCATTCGGGAATGTGTTCAACGACATCTGTGGGTCAACGGTGTCCAGTTGCCATGAAATGTTTTGCGATTGATGATAATTGATTGATGATTAAGATGCAATAAAACCCCAGAGAGTATCCCACAAAAAGCGAACTAGAAGCACTGTTGGTTAAGGAGGGGAATAAAATATGATATGATTAAAATCTTAGACAAAGCGATAAAATGGCTTCAATGGATAAAGCCCATGGGGGGGGGGTTGCGATAATTTTTTCGCAGTGAAAATTCTGCTTTTTTGATATTTTTATGTCAAAATAGAAGATACTTTGATGCTATTTTGCATTTGGGTTTCTCATTCGATTGCCATCAACATTCTCTAAAATTGGTGACGATCATGCCCAAAGCCTCGCAGACAATCCAAACATGTCGAGGGGAGGCTGCAATACTTTCGTCGCGCGGAATGTGGTTGGTGGTAGCACTGACAGACACATTGAACGATTATAGGTTCGTGTGTAGGCCACTGTTTTCAATTACATTTTTGCTATAGCTTCCTGATTCGATTAAAACGTCAAAAATAACTAGGAGTTGAAAGAGTTGGTCCAAGTTTTGAAGTAATAACAATTAGAAAAAACAATCTGGTAGCCTTTCCTACTAAATACGCAAAGGAGAAAAAGGGATTCACTTTTTTGGAGAACGCTAAAAATTTACAAAACACAGAGTGAACAGAAATATGCTGGAGTAACACACCTGATGACTCTGTGTAGGTTCTGTTGCCTCAGAATAGTCCGACTGAGAAGCGGAATGCCTCGAGTGAGAAGCTTTTTTCCCCATGGTATTCACACTCTTTGGTCGACTGTCCGTTTGCGACAAAGAACGTTTTGCTTGTGTGCTATTGCGCAGTTGCTGCATTCGTAGAAGATGAGCGTGATTCGCTCGGGGTATAATAGAACTTTTTGTCGGCCCAGTATAGATAGGCGTTGCACGTAGCCATCCACGATCTAGTAAGAGGAAATTGGAACGTTACGAAAACCCGGGAACGGCAATCCAATCAGTGCACTGTTGAGAAACACACTGGGTTTTGGTTATTAACAGTAGAGTCGAACGAGGACATTAACGAATAATATGGATTAAAAGTTCGAATAAGGTTTGAAATGTGCTTATTAGAGGAATGTGTGCAAGCAGGGCTAGTACTGGGTTGGAGTGCCACTATATGG